TTGAATTTATTTACTATATCCTCCATTTTATTAACCAACTCATCACCATCCAAAATATAATGAGGATAATTCTCCTTACCATGATTATTTCTGATTACCCTATTTAATATGTTGTAAATATATTGTCAATCAGCGTTGCACTATCTGTGGTTATTCTACTAGGTCTTGTGATAATGGGAAACAGACTACAACTATATAGTACATCAATAAATGCATCAATATCCATCTTTTTATTGGGATTTAATAAATCGATATTGTAGTCGCCACATAAAAACATTACCTTATTACTTAAGATTGAATAATTTTTCTCAACCCACTCACTAAATGTATCAATACTCGAGCCAGGTGCTCTGTAGATACAACTCACTAAAATATTTTTCTTGTTTTCCATTAATATTTCTATTGTAACGCATTCCAATAAATTATCCACCACTATTGACAAACTATCTATTATTTTATAACTAATATTTTTATCAACAAACAGTGCCACTCCACCACCTATCCTAGCTTCTCTATTTATATAAACCATTTCATAACGGTCAAGGTCAAAGTCAATGCCCCTTACATCCTTGATCCAAGTTTCAGTTATTGCTACTACATTAAATCTTTGTGTCAAATTCATTAGGTAGTATTTTATACTACTAAAATTAGCATATAAACTTCTACTGTTAAAATTAATCATTGATATCTTGTTATTAGTGTTAATTTTATTATTAAACTGATTCTCAGAATAATACTGGCAATTACTTCTAATGTTTGAAAAAAAAAATTTCAGGATCAATGCCATTTTCCAGGTCTAAATAGTGGTATTCAGTGTGTCCATAATTACTCAACTCCAACTCATCAAGGTCACCAATTCTCTGAGCCAAATCATTTGCAGCTTGATATATACTGTTCAATTCTGACGCCATGCAAAACTGACCCACCAACAATTAAACCAAGCACATGTTAATTCCTCATTACAAGTGAGTTATTTGTCTTTATCTTCTCCTTGTTTAGGTGTACTGTTTCTGGGGTGTACCACCAACCTATCATATCGAAGGTACGCAATATCACCCCTGGCCCGAGCCTCCCGTAACTTTGGCAACTCTTTTCGTTTTTTCTTCACTGAATCCCTGTAATCTTCGTTTATATAAATATGAGTACCTTTCAACAACTTGGCGCGCTGCAGGATGTATGCTCTATCCTTATTCCGTGTAAACTTCACGACCACCGCCCTGGATCCTCGTTCCATAGTCCTCCCCACTCGGAGAGCTCGTTCGATCTCCATTTCCTGGTGAATTTGCAGCTTTTCTTTCAGTATATTCTTTACTTTCGGCTCCGTGTCCAACCAAGTTTCTCCAGGTGTCTCCATTATTCCTTCGAACACCAGATTCTTCCGTCTGGCCTGTCCATCTAAATATTCCAGTTTATCTGCAATCGCAGTCAAACTTTCACAGGGTTTATGAACGTCAGACTGCAACGCTTTTCCACACTCGTCTTGTTTACCGGTACAGGTCTTGATATCGTCTACTTCCTTTTGCGTAAATTGTAAACTTGTTTTTATTTCATGTATTTCTCTACCCAAAAGGTCCAGTCTTTCGTTTGTTGAATCCATAACATTTGGCCTTGTTAATCAGTCTTTACTGGCCTCACAGCAACAGAGGATGGCCTGTACTTATGTTACAGTCAAAGTTGACTTCCTCTTCCACTAAAAAGGAAGTGGCAAAGACTGGTTAGAAGATTGCGTTTAAATATCTGGCCTCTGTGGTGGAAATCAAGTTGTTAAGACAAAGATGAGAATTTCAAGGTGACATGGCTCACATTAATGTCAAAGCCATGTGTTGAACTAAGCATTGTGGTGTACAGTACAACATTACAGAGCTTTGAGGTTAATTGTCTTTTTGTCCATTTGTTAAAACACATAGTGCAGAGAACAGACCCGTAACATTTCTTTTATTTCAAGGTTCAGCACTTTGCTGTGCAGATCCACTGTTGTAACGGTGGCAAGTGAGACAGAAATCAGTGCTTGCAGTAGTTGAATTCCCAAACCACATGTAATAACTTTGCATTAGATACAGTAGCTGTAGATTTAGAATGGATTTTTTTTTATATTAGAGAGCATCCACTTGTCTCATTGTTTTACTGTTCTGAATTGAAGAGATGAATAGTTGTGTGATTCACTGTTGGAAAGACAGAGGACAAAGCTCAAGTGAGGTTTGTTCTCTTATTCATTCATTCACAGCGTAATCACTTCTCTAATTTTAAACTTTATTGCTTTCAGTTGAAGGTAAAGATTGAAAAATAAATGGAAATATAATAGGTTCATGCATAAAAAGGTGGTTTACAAAGTTGGGTTTGCTGTATGGTGAAGGCTACTTTCCCAGTTTTCTCAGGGAAACAAGTACACATGAAAAGTGAAATAAAGGAAAATTAAGTAGACGGAAAAAGATGATTGCAAAGCAGGTGATTTAGATAAATTGTACTTCAAGTCCATAACAGTCCCTTATAGTCCACAAACATCTTGTGGGCCTTGTTTACTCTTGGTAAAATGCATCTAATGTTTTTTTTTTTCCTTCTTCTTGCTGCAGATCTTGGAGGTCAATGGGCAAAACTTTGAGAATGTCCAGCTCAGCAAAGCCAATGAGATTCTAAAGAACAACACCCACTTGTCCATAACTGTGAAAACAAACCTTTTAGGTAAAGTATTAGGATGTCAGATTTGTGAAACGATGCCTCTTCTCATTTTTCATGGGTTCACTACTTAAGGGATTAGTGATGAATTTGAGAGACTGTGACATGATTAACAGGAGAAAGCAATAAAAACAGCTGCTATATAAAATTGTATTTGCTTTCCTGACTTCCCATATCTTTGCATTTGTTTGGTAGGTTTAGGGTCCTGTTATTTAAAAAGAACAAAAGGGCTAAAAAAGATAAAAAGAAAAAGTCTTACAAATATTCCTAAGGTAGCCATGTCTCTGAATGATAATCATAGTGTGGCTCTTTCCTTTGTCACTTCCTACCTCCTCTAGTGTTCAAAGAGCTGCTAACCAGGCCAGAACAGGACCATGACTTGGATGGTGAGGACGAACACGACAGGAAGAACGGGGCGCCCCACCTTCCAAAGATTGGAGACATCAAGAAGACCAGTCGCTACTCCATCCCCGACCTGGCAGTGGACGTGGAACAGGTGATGGGCCTGGAGAAGGCTAGCAAGAAGGCAAAGACCACTACGGTGGGTGGACGCAACAAGCTGAAGAAGATCTTTGACAAGACACTCACCAGCATCCTGCCTCCAAAACCATACAAGTAAGAGCACCTGTGTGTTTTACAAGTTTATTATAAACAAAATTAACAGTGGACTAAAAAAGTTGTCAAATCCAGACAGATCCTGATATGTTTCATCTCGTTAGTAAAGTAGTGACTAGCTGATGATCATGGCCTCTCCTGTGTAATATAATGCCATCTCTCATTTTCCTAGAACCTTAATAAGTCTAATATTTTATCAAAATATAATACTATTAATGCTGTCATTCTTGATTTTCATGTTGCAGTGCTGCCAATACAGATATTTTCAATTTATTGTTTTAAAGAAAGAATGTTTGCCACTTAGTTTGTTTTTCAAATGATCCTGCAGCAGGTATAGGGCTCAGATTGATATTTCTGTTTGCTGACCCAAATATAAGCTTGTCATAGCACCATGCAGCCAAAGCTGGGTATAAAGTCTGAGTATGTTTTCTGTGGAATGTTCTCTCTTCAGACTCAGATTCCACTTACTGCCAATACAAATATCGCCCCCTGCTTTCTGTTGGCAGAACTGCAATCTCAGCACTCCCATATTCTCCCTTTTGTTTCCATAGTGACGTTTGCGTGGGCCAATCACAGGACGACAGCATTGTGGGGATGAAGCAGTCCAAACAGATCCCTCCGGCCCTGCCCGTCAGTGGAAACCTGTCGTCGTCAAACCCAGACCTTCTGCAGTCCCACCATCGCATCCTCGACTTCAATAACCAGCCTGGTGTGTCTTCAAATGTTATTTAGATATAATGTGTAACTTGGGTATATTTATCCTCATAGTTGAAATCATCATTGGCATCAGTTCAGATTTGTCACTGAGATTTATGAATATATCCTCTATTTTTTGGTTGAAATCTTTTTCACCATTTTAGACTTTAAATGTTTAAAGTTTGACATTTCAGTATGTAGGAGCCGTGAAAAATGGGCCATGGTTTCCTGCAAATACTGTCCATTTAGGGTGGGCGGGTGATGTGACTAAAATTTTGCATCATGGAATATATTAACTATCATGATATATA